TGTACTCACCTAGTTGTACTCACCTAGTTGTGCTTGAGGGGTTGAGCTCTGGCTCTTTGGTCCCGCCTCTCAACTGTCAATCAACAGGTGTACAGGTTCCTGAGCCTATTGGGCTCTATCATATCTACACTTGAAACTGTGTATGGAGTCAGCCTCCACCACATCACTTCCTAATGCATTTCATTTGTCAACCACTCTGACACTAAAAAAGTTCTTTCTAATATCTCTGTGGCTCATTTGGGCACTCAGTTTCCACCTGTGTCCCCTAGTGCGTGTGCCCCTTGTGTTAAGCAGCCTGTCTTTATCAACCCTGTAGATTCCCTTGAGGATCTTGAATGTGGTGATCATGTCCCCCCTAACTCTGTCTTCCAACGAAGTGAGGTTTAATTCCCGTAGTCTCTCCTCGTAGCTCATACCTCTCAGCTCGGGTATTAGTCTGGTGGAAAACCTTTGAACCTTTACCATTTTAGTCTTATGCTTGACTAGATATGGACTCCATGCTGGTGCCGCATACTCCAGAATTGGTCTGACATATGTGGTATATAATGATCTGAAAGATTCCTTACACAAGTTTCTAAAGGTCGTTCTTATGTTAGCCAACTTGGCATATGCTGCTGATGTTATCCTCTTGATATGAGCTTCAGGGGACAGGTCTGGCGTGATATCAACCCCCAGGTCTCTCTCTCTCTCTCTGACTCTTGAAGTATTTCATCTCCCAGATGATACCTTGTATCTGGTCTTCTGCTTCCTACCCCTATCTTCATTACATTACATTTGCTTGGGTTAAACTCTAACAACCATTTGTTCGACCATTCCTGCAGCTTGTCCAGATCTTCTTGAAGCCTCAAGCTGTCCTCCTCTGTCTTAATCCTTCTCATAATTTTGGCATCGTCAGCAAACATTGAGAGGAATGAGTCTATACCCTCTGGGAGATCATTTACATATATCAGAAACTGGATAGGTCCAAGTACAGAGCCCTGTGGGACTCCACTGGTGACTTCACGCCAGTCTGAGGTCTCACCCCTCACTGTAACTCTCTGCTCTGTGTGTGTGTGTGTGTGTGTGTGTGTGTGTGTGTGTGTGTGTGTCTGTCTTTATATCCGTGTCTTGTTCATTTGAAATTGTGCGAATTGGGATGTATGTGTGCGTCTTATGTATGTGTATGTGTACGTGCATGTGTAATAAATCCATGAAACGAGTTGAAGTGTTCGGGCGTTGCCAGTAAGTCAATTTAGGCCCAACGTCAGAAACGTTTCCCGAAGCTTAACTTTTACACGCGCGCGCGCACGCAAGCAAGCACGCACACACACACACACACACACACACACACACACCCACACACACACACACACCACACACACACACACACACACACACACACACACACACACCCACACACACACACTCACACTCACACTCACACTCACACCCACACCCACACCCACACCCACACCCACACACACACCCCCACACACACCCCCACACACACACACACACACACACACACACCCACACACACACACCCACACACTCACACCCACACACCCACACCCACACCCACACCCACACCCACACCCACACCCACACCCACACCCACACCCACCCACCCACCACAGCTCAGGGGTCGTAATCCTGAGAGGTCCGGGGCTGATTTACGGCCAAGGCAGAAACAATTGAATACAGTTTCCTTCACCTGATGCCTCTGCTCAACTAGTAGTATATAGGTACTTGGAAGTTAGACAACTGCTGCGAGCGGCATCTTGAGGATGTGTGTGGGAGAGAACTATATAGTATATATTGTTCTATATAGAACTATATAGTAGTAGATATAGAGGAAAAATAGGTTGGGAGTTAGTGTATTTCACAACCGACGGTTAGAAAGGCGGGGTCCAGGAGCTAACAGCTCGATCCAGCAGGCAGATAGTAAAACCTATCATATACACACACATGCATATTTACGCAAGTATTCATCTTCTAAAATGAAACGAAAATTCCGAACGTTTGCGTGTTTAAACACATTACCAAGTAATACAAAGAATACATAAAGTATACATAAACACACACCGTTGCTTTTTATAATCACCAAAAGATACAGGAAACGTCTCCTTAAAATGCAGACGCGTCACAAATTATTCCCTGCAAAATTATAGTCAATAGAAAGACATTAACGAATTACCTAGAGAGCACAACCATTGTTTCAATCACTTCACACAAGATGAGTCCCCGCTTAACGACCCTACTCAAGTTACCTAACAAGATTACAGCGACAAGGCAGGAGACAGGAAAAACACAGACGGTATATTCCAGGACTGTCAGAGAGCACGTGATACAGTTCTCTTTCCTGTGCTTGCCATTCATGCTTGAGTATCTGGTATGGATATAGCCGGGATGGTGTTAAATATGGAAAAAACTGAAATATCATATACGGTTATAAATTTAAATTAATAATCATGCAACACGAAGACAGAAAAATAATCCAGAACGACCTGGATAAACTTCAAGACTTGTGAAAGTAGTGGCTACTTGACTTCAACTGTTAAATACAAGGTAATGAGAATTTGAGAGCAAGACGACCAACTGAGCAATAACAAATAAAATGGAGGTAACGCCTTGGAATAGCAAACTAGAACAACTTGGTGGTTGATATAACCGTTAAAACTTACATCAGAGGCTAAAATGCATTGGATTTGCATGATCTGCATATGCGAAAATGACAGAAACATTAACATTTGAGAACATTGTGATGGCGGCCCTCAGAACGTTGTTGTGCAAAATATTTGTGAAGTTTATTCACTCCATGGAGTAGAGTATGTCACTCCAACGTCGGGGTTCATTCTGAAGTATGTCACTCCAGCGCCGAACCTTCGCCCACAGGGGGTTCGGGGGATTAATCCTAACTTTATAAACTCGAATAATAATATAAGTAAAGACTCAGGAAAATAAACTGCCCAACACATGAACAGAGACAGAATCGAGGAGATATGAAAACGACTTATAAAATTCTCAGTGTTTTTTTTATATTGTTCAAAATGAGGACATGTTGAGCATAATGAAGCACAGAACCACATGAATGAAACTTTGAGTCACTGAAGAGCCACTACTATACAAAAAACATTATTACTTTTCATTAGAAAATGAAAAGCATTAGAGATACATTTGAAGCTAATATACAGTTTCTAAATGTGAGGCACAAAACCGGACGTCCACCAGTCGTTGCGTTTGACAACCGTCAGCTTCTCTAAGGCGTTACTGAGGAGCTACAGCTCGACAGTTTACGCACATATTCAGTAGCACATTTAGGTGAACATCTAGGCTGATGAAAGGGTGAGAGAACACCTTAGCGGAGAGAAGCAAAAGAGGCTGAGTTTAGAGATATTAGAGTGAAGAACCATGAGGTCATGGTTCCATGTACCATGAGGTACAACAGGTCTATGATTTGCTATACCATGAGGTACAACAGGTCTATGATTTGCTGCACCATGAGGTACAACAGGTCTATGATTTGCTGCACCATGAGGTACAACAGGTCTATGATTTGCTGTACCATGAGGTACAACAGGTCTATGATTTGCTGCACCATGAGGTACAACAGGTCTATGATTTGCTGTACCATGAGGTACAACAGGTCTATGATTTGCTGGACCATGAGGTACAGCAAAAAACAATTGTGAAAAACCCCAGCTCATATATTTCAATACCTATCTCTCAGCCACCTAAAACGAGGAAATTGGCTCTTTCATATCGATGTTTCTTGATGAGGTGAAACTATCGATGAGAAACAGAATTGAGTTTCTGCTATAATGCAAAATTAACAAGACGCACTTGAGAGATGGTCTGAAAAAGAAAAATATCTGCTGACTTTGACCTCAAATTGGCAGTTATTGTGGTGAATGCTGGAGTACGATGAACCTAGCGGCATAACATAATGTGTGGGAGGCATATACCCGCTTTATGACGAAGGTAATGATATGTAAGGACGCTATAGAGACTCACATAAGCAAAATACCGGGGCATACAGCATGACGGCCTTCAGGAACAAAGGCAAAAAGGCCTTCCCAAGTACTATTTGAAACCTACGTTAGACCCACTCAATAGTACGCATCTCATGTATGGAACTTCCCAGTTAAATGGCAAAAATAAAAATAAACGAGAAAAGATCACATATTCTGTATAAATTCTCTAACTGAACTGAACGGGTACGGCAGTGCAAAGATAAATTGAAGGCTAAAGTTGACTGCCATTCTAGTTCCTCTTCCACAACTTCTCAGCGCCCCAGTTTGGTCTAGTTATAAGGACGCCTCGTGGTTACCCTCCCTCCCCCCTTCCACAAGCTCTGTACCTCCTCTCTCAGTCTATTGAACTCAGTCGTAAGTCTGTAATGCAAAGAGAAAACACAAACTCATTTTAATACATACTCAGAAAACACAAAAGTCGCAGGAATTATAATTATGAGGACAGAGCAGTGACGCACATCAGAAATTATGCCATGATATCTCGAGGCAAATTAGCACAAAATAATTCAGATAATCGAGACACAGTAACAGCATGAAGCAAGGAAGCACAAAAAAATAATATTACCTCAGATATTCCTCTGACGAAAGTATATACAAAAACAGAAAAGTCAATTAAGACCATTTGTAGTGCGATATTACCATTTACTATTGTTTAAGAAAATACGCAATTATAATTAAAATATTGAGATTTTGATCACTTCACAGCCAATGCTTCCATTTGGTCAGTATTAAAAAAACATTAATTATGTGACGAATAATATCAGCAAATAATGTTTTAATATTTTGAGGGGTATTACTTATGTTTCTATTTTGTATTTACGACTTATTTCTCCCATTGCATGAAGCCATTGTCTTTGTTCATCATGTGAACGGACTTCTTGTTACCAATATGTATAACATTTGAAGCTTCTCTTACTCTCCAACATGTCACCAAAAACACCACCAGGAAACTCACTAACACACACACATTCTCTCTGTCTATTGCAGGAAATCCAAACAGCAAAGACAGCGGGAGTCCGGTGGGCGGGGCGGTGGGCGGTCTGGTGGTGACGGTGGTGGTGCTGGTGGGCGTGGTGGTAGGGAGGAACTACTGCCGGAGACGCAGAGGTAGGCCGAAGCAGGATCCTCGTCCGCCGTCCGACGACAGCAACCCCGACGTTGTACCTAATATAGGTAGGTACTCCATGGCTCCGTTCACTCTCAGATTGATTGATGAAGATTAAGCCACCCAAAAGGTGGCACGGGCATGAATAACCCGTAAGTGGTGGCCCTTTTGAGCCATTATCAGTATCAAGAGCTGATACTGGAGATCTGTGTAGGTGCGATTGCACCCTGCGTGACGGGAGATGTCTCCCGTGTCCTCTCAATGTAGTCAGCCTCCCAGTTATGAGAGAAAGCGCTGACGTTGCTCTGATTACAGAATGAGGTGTTAACTTCCTCGATGTAGGACTTTCTTTCCTTTAGTTTTAAACTGAATCAACATTGATTATCCCCATCGTTTCTGAGACACTCGGCGCCTGGGGAAAAAGTGTCCCTAGTTTTTTTAAGGAACTGCGATCTAGGCTAATTGAAACAAGAGACCCCTAGAGCTGCCAGCTTCCTTTTCCAACGCCTCAGCGTTGCGATACAGAGAGGAAATGCACACTGCATTCAGGGTTCCTGCCCGCCATTGGAGGAGCTGGAGGAACTCGACAACTTATGATAATCATCTTTGTACCTTATCTTGAGTTTATCTTGAGATCGAGATTTAGCGCCCCCGCGGCCCGGTCCTCGACCAGGTCTCCTTTTACACCCCCAGGAAGCAGCCCAAAGCTACACAGACCCCTGCATGACAGACCTTATATGTAGCTCCTTTTTATAACAAAGTTTATAATATATATATATATAAGGTATTATTAGGTATATATATATATATATATATATATATATATATATATATATATATATATATATATATATATATATATATATATATATATATATATATATATATTCCGTATTTACTATATTCTGATTTAGGGCTTCTATCCCTCTTACTAATGCTCTTGCTCCAGGCTTCAGCTGGAAGAGGAGTTCACCAAAAGTCATGTTGTTTTCAAGGTGAAGAAAAGGATTGAATAACTGAAGAATGTATTACACTTATTATAAAATCTCTCAACGTTTCGAACCTACATGGTTCATTCTCAAGTGATAAGAAATTACAGATCTCATTAGATTTATACCAGTACGGGGTCAGGTGAGAAAACAAGTAGAATAAAGGAAAAGGTCAGGGTATAAATAGGGGATAAATACCTTAGGCTCCAAGATCCATGAGGCTGAGTGTGCAAGGAGATTCATCAAAGATCTGGGTGTAACAGTCAGCTGTTCATAGTAATGATGAATTCTTGGATTCTTGTATTAAAAAGGTACTAAAGCTGGTATTGTTGTACTGTATGAATAGATATGCGTGCGGACACGCGCCGCACGCATGTTGTAGGAGTCAGAAGAGACTTCCTACCTGGCTTGGAGCGTTGAGTATACTTTTAGCAGTAGTGATCGTTGTACACGTGACACCTGGTGATCGCACACCAAGACACACAATGGTGGCTGTGGTTCAGTGTTACACAATGACCTTCCCCCACGATACTACACACTCCAGCCACACTGAGCCATTCAACACTGGTCGCTACGAAGGTGACCTCAGCTGAATCCTTACACTAATTGTCACACTTAATTACCAAGGATAAATAAACTGTACTTTGGCCAATTAAGGAATGATCTTTACATACAAATGATGACGGATGATTACAGCATTCCCAAGGTAAGCTATTAAGTGGAAATACTGGTGGAATATTATTTTTCTATAACTTAAGGAATTAAGGAGTAGGAGACATCTTAACAAACCGCGCGGCCATCCATCCAGACCTGAGCTAAAGGTTTTGCCAACCCAATATGGCAAGCAACTCTATGTACTAACCATTATACCGGGTGAATACAACCATGATTTACAACCCAACTTCACCCAATTATTATACATAACTCCTCAGGGTCTCAAACTGCTCTAATGCAAGTGCTATCATGGAAAGTGTTACACAAGACAACATGGATCCAAAGTTGGGTTCGTCGCTAATCGCATAGAAGGATTAATTCCCTTGGGAGGCCACCCGGTCACCTGACGGTCCAAGCCAGGTCAGAAGTCTCTCTTAATGGCAGGCTTTGAGTCCAATAGCGTGACTGAAGTATGTTGACCAGACCACACACTAGAAAATGAAGGGACGACGACGTTTCGGTCCGTCCTGGACCATTCTCAAGTCGATTGTGAGAATGGACTTGGACACAATCGACTTGAGAATGGTCCAGGACGGACCGATACGTCGTCGTCCCTTCATTTTCTAGTGTGTGGATTGGCCTCTTAATTCCTACAACTGGCGCGCCCGCACGCATATCTATTCATACAACAATACCAGCTTTCTTAGCTTTTTAATATAAGAATTCAAGAATATATCATTACTATGAACAGCTGACTGTTAAATGGGTTCCAGGCTCAGCAAACCAACTAAAGACCCAAGAGCGGCGAGCTTCCTTTTGCAGCGCTAAAGGGTGGCGATCCAGAGAGTAAATGCCCACTGCATCTTCAGTTCCTGCCCAGCGTCGGAAGGGTTCGAAGAAATCTACAGCCTGTAGGGAACAAACTAATTTGCTTTCCTCTTAATGTATACATTTTTGTAACTATTTAAAGGTGTACCCTTGCATAATAAAGTATATAATAAGAAATGGGATGGTATAAGAAGCAAATACTATTACGTATTTATAACCAAACAACAAGTTTTTCTCTGCATGCTTTTTATTCCCAACTCCGAGGCTATGGGTCCCCACAATTACACCCAAAGGTAGTATACCTCTTTATAAAATAAGAATATATACTAATAGAAATAAATGGAAGGGAGTACCACCTCTAGCTGGAAGAAGGGGGACCCATAGCCTCGGAGGAAACCACACATAACGCATTAGAGGGAATGTTTAGATCCCCTCCAATACAGTTTCTGTGTGCTTTTCTCCTACCACCCCCTTCCTTTTTTTATTATATATATACTAATATATATATATATATATATATATATATATATATATATATATATATATATACATATATATATATATATATATTATATATAATATTATAGCCGCACAATTTCTGTGAACGTGAATATTAGAGCGAGCAGTGTACCCCGACGTGCCAGCACCACGCACACACCGAGCTAACTTCGCTGGATATTATAATGAATTAGGAAGTCTAATACAAAACATACATTATCTTTGCCGGACTTAGGCTCGAGTTTAGTGGAGTTATGCGGGTTTTTGGGGTGAAGTCGAGAGAGGTAATAAACTACTCAACTCTATTACTGATTAACTTGAATGTTCTTTGAGCTAATCTACACCACTCTCTTGTATTAGCGACGGGGCGGAGTTCTCCCGTATTCACACACAATTAGGCCCGTTCGAGGCTCTGATGGTCAAGGTAAATGGAATGTTATTATTCATGATATGGTGGTTAGCAATTTATATAATTAGGACGGGGATCACCTTACACCTTCATGCCAAAGCGGGCCCCACTCAGGGAGGGCCTAGAGATCCGGATGGACAGCAGATCGGTGTGTCTGGTATCCTCACTATTATCTTGAGGTTATCTTGAGATGATTTCGGGGCTTTAGTGTCCCCGCGGCCCGGTCCTCGACCAGGCCTCCACCCCCAGGAAGCAGCCCGTGACAGCTGACTAACTCCCAGGTACCTATTTACTGCTAGGTAACAGGGGCATTCAGGGTGAAAGAAACTTTGCCCATTTGTTTCTGCCTCGTGCGGGAATCGAACCCGCGCCACAGAATTACGAGACCTGCGCGCTATCCACCAGGCTACGAGGCCCCTACGAGGCTACGAGGCCCCTATTAAGGGGAGCTGGTGGCTCAGTTAGTAGAACTGCTCGCTGCTGCTTGTATTGGGGCCACGTAAGCAACATAAATTGCATTTGTGTTGCTCATGTGGCCCCACAAAGTGAGATGATTTGATGAAATAACTATGCCCAAGATTACCACCAAATGCCGCCGTCGGGACGGTGAAATAGCCTCGGCTACCATCGTCTTTTGTATGGTCACGGATGGTCGAGTGGTTAAGGTACCGTGTACACCAGTTGCATTGTGCTCCTGGCTGTCTGGGTTCGAGTCACTTCTAGGTTGTGGAGTTTTCAGTCGTATATATGCTTGGGGACCATTTAAGCTTGTTTGCAATTATTATATATATTATATATATATATATATATATATATATATATATATATATATATATATATATATATATATATATATATATATATATATGAACTTGATTAGGCAAGTTCATGTGTGTGAATATAGAGACACGAGTTCTCCATGATAAAGCAGTGGCTTGATGAAAAACGTAATGTGACCGTACACCTCTCTGGTGCCCTCGGGGAGTAGAGATGTTAGGGAAATACTCCGAAACTTCTATTCCTTTTGAAGGGTCTGAGTTGGCGTAGTCGGTTAACACGTACTAGTTATGCCAGTTGTGTGAACAACTATGCTCTCTGGGTTCGAGTCTACCTGCAGGGTGGTGTCTAAGTTGTGTTGTGTATATATATTAATATACACGAACACATTAATCCAGGCACAGAAGACCAGGGATAGCCGGGATCGATCCCCGGACCCTAGGATTACGAGAACCGAGCGCTGTCCATTCAGCCACCACGCCCTTTGTGTGTGTTTCTGAGGGAATGTATATGTAGTAGATTTGAAAGAGGTAAAAAGGTTGGGAATCAGTACATTAGACATCTGACGGTTAGAAATACAAGGTCCACGCGCTAACAGCTCGTTCCGGCAAGGACAAATAAACATACACACACACATAGCAGGAATAACCGAGCACCAGCAAGCAGACGAAGACCCAGAGGGCCAGAAAGGACTACCTCAGTGTGAGAAGAGAGGTAGAGAGACACTATGAAATCAGCATAGTAAATAATGACCCCACCCAAATTGTTTCACAACCACATCAGGAGGAAAACAATAATGAAGCAGCAGCTAATGACATCGCGACTAACAAAGCAGATCTGCGAGGAATTCAACTAGAGACTCCAGGAGGTCTTCACAATAGAGCAAGGACAAGTTCCTGAACTAAAAGAGGCC